CAGTCTGCTTGACCGTGTCTCACGGTGTTGTCGCTTGCAGATTTACTTATACTTCTTCAACCCTGAAGATGGGGGCGATACGTTCCTCCGAAACGTCGGTTAACACCACATATACACGGTGCCAAATCCCAGAAGACTGCTTTCTTCATAGTCACCGCCGTGAAAGCCTCAAATCTTACACTTCTAAAACAGTTCAGAGAAATTTCAAACGTTCACCATTACTAAACCAGTGGGTAACTTTTTATAAACCATTCTATTTGTCAAATGTAGGTGTCTTTTATTGCTAGTGGGGTGGGACTAAGTCCCTTGTACTGTGGTCACTTCTGACCTATTGTACCAGCCCCAGATGATAGGTGAGGGTGATTGTGGAGCAACTGGTGGAATGAAGATTGGCAGGGGAAACCGAAATACTCGGAGAAAACCCGACCCAGCGCCATTTTGTCCACCACAAACCCCATTTGACCAGACCCGGGATCGAACCCGAGCCGCCGCGGTGGGAAGCCAGCGACTAACCGCTTGAGCTATGGCGCGGCCAAATGCAGGTTACAGAAACTGCTGCATGCACTGGGAAACACATTCAGGCAAGGGCACAAAACCTGTAGCTGGAAAGCATGGATTTTAAAAATGACATTCTGAAATCCTATGCAACACATGAGATGTTTTACAATCTGACTGACCAAGGAAATTTTCCTTCCTTAAAAATTGCAGCTTATGAGATTACATCTTATTCTGGTTCCATTTACCTGTGCCAATCTGCGTTTTCAAAAATGAACCTAATGAAATGAAAGAACAGATCTCGACTAAATGATGCCTATCTTGACTTTGGAAGGAGGAATATCACCTTACCCTCCATACTTTGACAAACTGGCCGATGAATTGCAGTGTCAAACTTCTCACTCGAGCGCCGATCTTGGATGGAACTATGGCCTAACGTACCAAATAATATAATTAATAACTTTTACGCCTCTAAATTTCTTTCCCTTTCTACTTTCATGTTTTAATATTGTTTGGTGTATTATTTAGTGTTCATGTATTTATTTGCCCTGAAATAAATTGTTTGCGTTGACTGTTGCCTGCCACTTGTCCTGAAATATGAGAGTATGCCCTTGACATGAAAGACTTGGGACTCATTAGCACTCATGGTTTTCAGAATGATTATCGTAACCAAATCGGCACAATTTCAATTTTCTTTTTTCTTTCTTTTCTTTATTTCCTTCCTTTCTCCTTTCTCCTTTCTTAATTTCTTTATTTATAGCTGTGATTGTATATTACCTTCCACCCCATGATTTCTTCCTTCGTTCCGGCTTTCCTTTCGATAATTCAATCCGCATTTGTTACTGCAGTGGGGTTAATTTAAGTCCTTGTTCCCGGGCTCTCTCATCTTCATTCATTATAGAAGCAAAATTCGAGATGAGCTCTATTCTGTTAGGAGGCTTTTTCTTATGATAATCTAACCCAAACAATGTGACGTAACGATTCCTTAAGTGACCTCCGCTGAGTTCAATGTTGCCACACTAATGCTGAGGAGCAATTATAATCAGTACATCTGACCTGCGTATTGCGCAGTGTTACACAGACTGAGCTCCACGGATCACTAAATGCTGAGCTGTTTGTCTCTCTGTTCACAGAAAATCTCATCAGATCTACAATGCGGGGATAAGACAACACTACTACCCGACGGCTCAGAGGAAGAGTAAGCGCACACCGACTGGGAGCCACATGACTATACAACTCGCCTTTTAACCGTAGTCGGATGCAAGTATTTCGACAGCATGTTCACACCACTAAGCACACTTCCCGTCACTGACTCTTCATAAACCTGTGCATGAGTGGTGAGCCACTCTTTTTACGCCAATCCCACATCCCCACATCGCCAGTAAAATTATACCAATGCCATCTGTATTGTATCCAGTAAACATATGTGGAAAAACAAAATTTTGCTGTTCGTTGGTACCCAGTAGTCATTCTGATATTGAAGTGTATTTGATAAGATATGTGAAAAGTTTACCGTCGTCTCTGAGCAGTAAAATGTAACTAACTACTCATGGCTTCTGTACAACATGTTTCCATTGAATTACAGTAACAAAGAAGGGAAGTCTTCATATCTTTATGCAGGTTGAAAACAAATCTGTCTCTATTCCTGGGTGATAACATGGTGTTCTATTCTCTGTCGGCCCCTTGAAGTCCAGTAGGCCTGGTTCTCCTAAATATCAGTAAACCAGGCAGTTGTTACCCAATAATGGAAACAATATTAATAGAAAAGTGTTCCCTAGACAAATTCAACTTATTAAAGATTATAAATGATATTGGGTAGTTATGTTAATTAATTAACTTTTATAATCTGAGTAGTTGAAGAAGGTCAGTGTGAAAACTAGCATTAATTCTTTATAAATATCTAAATATTTGTACGAATTTTTTTTTAGTTCTTCTTTTAGAAATTAACCGCACCGGCAATTCCGACGCGCCCCGGTTCTCTCTTCGACTCATTGTGTCATATTTTCTTGATTATGTCCTGGAGTACCACCAGCCTGTGCTAAATGAGTTCGAATGTCAGGAGTCTGGGATAGGCCAAGGGACGATAAAATTTAGAAGAAGAGGAAAAAGGAGGAGAAGAAGAAGAAGAGGAGGAGGAGAAGGAGAAGGGAAATAAGAAGCTGTGAGTTAAGTTAGGGCCTAGTATTTGGTGACGTATGGAGGAAGGTGTAAGACATAATTTGATACGATGAAGCCAGAAAATGACACTACAAGATTCCTTTTGTAAAGACTGTTTCTGTTGATCTATAATTACACCAATCCTAGTTGTTTAATTTGCACTATTACTCACTCTCCTCAAGTTTCTAGAACCAAGAAACAAAACAGTAATAAAGATTACTGTCTCCTGAGATGTGACGCCGTGTAGCCTGGTAAAGTTCCTCCGAAAAGTGGGTGAACTGCTACCGGTCTACACGGCATCACATTCCATAAGATACTGCTCTTCAAGTCACTGCTGTAGGAAACTCAAATTCATCTTTAACTAAATTTATATTTTCTTTGAGTTGTGACTCAACATATTTTGAAAGTTAACGTTTACGTCTGGTCTTGAATATAACGAAATAAAACCATATTTATTTAGTTCCGTTTGCTACCATATTCTTCCGAAATGCGTCCCTGTGAGGGGTGTATTTTGTGTAATAGCATACAAGGATATATATGTAGTATATATACGTACAAGCACATTCATATACAGGTGTATCACAACTCAACGGCAAAACTTCAGGAACGGACTCCTCATATAGAGAGAAGAAATAAAGTTTATGACAACATGGGCCCGGAAATGCATATAATTACGGAGTACTAATTGTGTCTGCATGCCACTGAAAAGAATTGGCAGAGGAAAATTTATCACGAAGTAACCACAGGTGACGTCATGATAATCATAGAGCTGTCCTCCCAGTGAAAGGCCGACCCATCGATAGAAAGGCAGTCCTCCCAGTTAAAAGCCGACCCACCGATAGAAAGCACTCATGTCGCCAATTTCTTTCAGTGGCATGCAGACACAATTACTACTCTGTAATTATATGAATTTCCGGACCCATGCTGTCATATGCTTTATTTCTTCTCTCTACATGAGGAGTCCGTTCCTGAAGTTTTACCGTTGAGTTGCGATACATCCTGTATATATGTACATTCATACGTATGTACAAACACTTGGATACGAATATATATATATATACATGCATTAAATACGCACATATATACACATATACATACTTACATTTTTTAATGCTAGTGGGGTGGGACTAAGTCCCTTGTACTGTGGCCACTTCTGGCCTATTGTACCAGCCCCAGATGATAGGTGAGGGTGATTGTGGAGCAGTTGGTGGAATGAAGATTTGCAGGGGAAACCGAAGTACTCAGAGAAAACCTGTCCCAGCGCCACTTTGTCCACCACAAATCCCACTTGACCAGACCCAGGACCGAACCCGGGAAGTCGCGGTGGGAAGACAGCGACTAACCGCTTAAACTATGGCGCGGCGTAGCTACTGGGGGTAGTTCCAAGCGAGAGACATGAATTAGTTCCCTGGTAAGAAATCCACTTTAAATTTGAGAGACAATGAAGAGCTCCTTGGATTGACAATTCCTTTGTGCTTCGCAAGCCTAGGAGCATCGCATTAACATTCATAGAACCTCCGAATTATTCTCTTTGTGTTTCCGAAGTTTTGTTTGAAGTACCTTAAAGATTCTCCGTAAGAAGCACCAAAAGCTTATAATTTCATTTGCTATTTCAAGTAATTCTCACCTCTGACACAGCACCTAACAGTTAGAAAATATATAAAATGTTCTTATGATACAGAAAGTGTTAAGATAAGTGAAACTATATCGTGGCTTGCTGCATCTTGTAACAATTCAGGAATGTTTTCAAACTGAATTTTGTCAATAAATCGATACAGCAGAGGCATACCTGTAAACATACACTTAAAATTAAAAGAGAACAGAATTCCTTCTTCTGCGTCCTACCAACGTGTTCTGCGAGTGTGTACCTTTTTCAGAATTTAGATATTAAATACTTCAGACACTCGATATGGCCATCACGCAACTGGAGAATAATATAATTTGGTGTCCTCGACTCTGTTTTAAGCAACACAAATACAGATCGTCGAGTAAATTCCTCAGATGGAAACAACGCTAGCTCTATTGCATGTGCTTCCATAAAGATCCCTCTGCAGTTGCACTGGATGAAGGACCCAGCTCTAGAATGTTCTGACTCCATTGTTGTGCTCGTAGATGAAACCGTTTGGGGCGAGGAAGACTAATAAATCTAGATGCATAATAGCAGCCGGTTTATGAGTCTGTACTTCTGTTATCTGTGTATGTCCTGTCGCTGACGCCGTAGAGTGGACGTTCCTCTGAAACCTCGGTTCACACAAGATCTACACGGCCCCATATCCCAGAAGACGACATTTTTCAAATGTCCAATAATTCCATTACGTCTTCAACCTGCGGATGTGAGAAATCTGAGCAAGAAGAATCCTTTTTGACCTTAGACACATACCGAGGTAGCCCTGACTCCTTAATGGTTTGTGCAAATTCTTGATTTTTCACACTGAAGTCGTTGAAACATTCTTTGTTCTCTGAAGTGTATTGAGACCTAAGATATACAACTTTTCGCGAGTACTTTCAACTACCATCTTCGGGAGAGTGTTTGTCATTAGATTAGCAGTTCTTGACAAATATCTGAAACAAAATCAGAATAGGAGAAGGCATACCTCGTTTGGAAAACCACAACGTAAAAGACACATGCCTAGACTGGAAGACAACATTAAGAGACATCTTACAGAAAAGGGTGTGAGAATGTGGGCTATATTCAAATGGCTCAAGATAGGGGTAGTAGTGGACATGAATAAACTACGATGGAAATAAAGAAAAAATAACTACAAATATAATATGTTAAGAAGTTAGAAAAATGAGTGATAAATCACTTTTGACATGAAGAAAGCAGTCTTCTGGGATTTGGCACCGTGTATATGTGGTGTTAACCGACGTTTCGGAGGAACGTATCGCCCCCATCTTCAGGGTTCTACCGCCGTGAAGGCCTCAAATCTTACATTTTTGACATGTTTATTTTATATAAGTAGAAATACGTTTCGTAAGGAGCTGATGTCATACCTAACATGTTTACACGTATTTTTTTCCGAGACGCCTAAAAACTCTTAATCATTAAGCAGAACGAATTTTAGGGTCCCCACTGGATGTGAATGTTGTTGGATTCCTATTTAGTCTAATAATTCGAAGCTTGGATGATCTAAGAGTGCAGACTCATTGGGGGCACTTAACAGAATGCCACTCATACGTTTGGAGACCAACGACAGACGTCAGAATCACACAGCATTATTTGTAACAAATTATTGATGGAAGAAAATTAGTAATTGCTTCTGTAAAGAATCGCTTTCACGTCAGTCGGTGTGACCTAGCTCGTTTACAGCATATTTATATATAACCAGCTTTTTCCTGTGATGTTAAAAGAAAAGGGGTTAAACGTCGGAAACTGCGAAGAATCGAATTGAATTTGACAACTGCTTTTCTTGCGAGGGTGCATTTGTTGTGCCTTGTATTAATTCAGTACGAGAGTATATCATAGATAAGATGTAGGCTTCGGAAAATGTAATTAGAAAAAGCTGGTGCCTTTTTATATGTGTAATATAGGAGTTCCTGCTGAGAAGTTTGGTGTTTACTTCGTACAAGACACTTCCTCTCACGTCTATAGTTCGTACACTCTCTTTCGCATTTCGCTACTTCTAAGAGCAGTTTGATTCTCTTTTGTACTAGTTTTATAAGATAGTACTATATCATAAATAAGAAATCCATCTGCTATTAGAATTAAACACGTTTATATGAAAGTATCGAGCACTTGCATAAATCTCAGTGGTATACAACTGGTCGTTGTAATGAAATCCGTTAAAAACGCATTTAATGGTTCGTGTATGTACATTAGGATAGAAATAAATTGGGTCATGTGCCTCATTAGTATCACTGCTGAATTGTGTAATCTATTTTTTTTTATGCTAGTGGGGTGGGACTAAGTCCCTTGTACTGCGGCCACTTCTGGCCTATTGTACCAGCCCCAGATGATAGGTGAGGGTGATTGTGGAGCAATTGGTGGAATGAAGATTGGCAGGGGAAACCGAAGTACTCGGAGAAAACCTGCCCTAGCTCCACTTTGTCCACCACAAATTCCACTTGACCAGACCCGGGATCGAACCCGGGCCGCCGCGGTGAGAAGCCAGCGACTAACCGCTTGAGCTGTGGCGCGGCCATTGTGTAACCTAACAAAACAAGAGAAAGAACATATGAATTCTTCTCCGTCGCGTTAATACACGATAAAAGTCCGACGTTTCGGAGACTGCACCTATTCTTATCATTAATTACTTCTGAGATCAGTATCACAAAGTCTTCTGCATAAAAGGACAGTCCTCCTTGGTAGATAATTAAGGTAGTCAAAGTGAGACTGTGAACAGCGTCAAAACGGTCATTTTTTCATCTGTTCCTCTCATACCCTTATGAGGGAGTAGAGGTTTTCTTTTTATTCTTTTAATCATTTCACAGACGGTAAGGCTACTTGGACGAGTGACTGGCCCGTCGGAAGGCCACTACCTAACACAGAGAAACGCATATACACATCAAACATTCATGCCCTGAATGGGATTAGAACTCATGTTCCCGGCTTCCGAGCGAGCGAAGACAGTTCATGCCTTAGACAGCTCGGCAACCTTGACCGGCTAAAACGGTCATATATCCCAAAAATAATCTAATTCTGTTATGCCTGATCTGGATATGGCAGTGACTCCGTCAAGCTGTCGCCCATTCCAGCTCCGGTGTTGTTCAGCCCGAGTACAGCAATGACTGACGTCAAACGACCACCCATCCCACAAACGACCCAGCTGAATGTTGCTTGGTCTGTCTACGGTAGTAAATGACATGAAGCGGTCACTCATCGCACACATGTGTATGACCCAGTTAGGTGCTGTTTAACCTGGATGTGGTTGTGTGTGACGTCAGTCCACCATTTACTGTCCATTTTTTGTCAGCTTTTATCCATATCGACGTGGCCGATCCTTCGAGAAGTTTTCATTATACTTAATCATACTGTAGCTTTATATTTTATACAGAGGGCTGAAACAATTGGTTTGTTACAGTGTGGACATTATTTTGTAAAACAGATGTTGTATCACCCTTTTCACATC